GGTGTGGGGACACAGGGGTACAAACAGGTGGGATGTAAAGGGCATAGGGACACGGGACTTGGGGACACGGACACGGGATGTGGACATGGGGACAAGGGACATGGGATGGTGATGGGGGGATTTGGGGTGGTGGTACGAGGACACGGACAACGGGGACATGGGTTTGTACAACATGGGGGGATGCAGGGGTGAGGGATGTTGGGAACAAGACATAGGATACAGGAGCACAGGACACAGAATGAGGATGTGGGGCTTGACACAGGAACATGGATGTGGGTGCATGGGGTTTGGGATGTGGGACATGGGATGTACAGACATGGAGATTTGAGACATGGGGTGCAGGGGGATGTGGAGCTTGGGGAGATGAGACTGTGGGATGTGGGTTCATGGGACACGGAGCCATGGGATGCAGGACTGTGAAACTGCGGACCTGGTGCCATGGGGCCAGGGTCCGTGGTGCTGATGCAGGGCTGGGGCAGGGGGGGGTGCTGGGGATCAAGATCGGGTGGGTGTGTGACCTGGACCAGGCCTGGGAGCGCTGCCTGCCCCGCTACTCCTTCACCCGCCTGGACAGCCTGGCCCGGACCCCTGCCCCTGGATACAACTTCAGGTATGGCCAGGGCACACATGGAACAGGGGTGTGCACTGCCTGGCACGGCTCCTGTCCCCATGTCCCCACATCCCCATGTCCCCGTGTCCCCGCAGGCACGCCCGATATTACCGCTGGCCCGACGGCTCCGAGCGCCGCACCCTCATCAAGGCCTTTGGGATCCGCTTTGATGTCCTGGTGTACGGCAGCGTACGTGGGGGGCCGGGGACTCGGGGGGTGGCAGGGGGGTCGGGGTCTCCGGCCAACAAGGGCTTTGCACCCCCAGGCTGGGAAGTTTGGCATCGTCCCCACCCTCATCAACACGGTGGCTGCTTTCACCTCCATTGGTGTGGTGAGTTGTGGGTGTTCTCGGCCCCAGAGTGGGGACAGCTCCCAGGGCAAAAGGGGCAATCCCATGTCCATGGGGCATGGGGACATGGCACAGCTGCAGGGTGACAGCGACCTGGCTCCATGGGGGCCTGAGGGTGCCCCGCAGCGCCTCACCCCAACGCTGCCGCCCCCAGGGCACGGTGCTGTGCGACATCATCCTGCTCAACTTCCTCAAGGGCGCTGAGCACTACAAGGCCCGCAAGTTCGAGGAGGTCAGACATGGGGTGCTGGGATTCCGAGGGATGGGGACACCTCTGAGGGGCTCGATTGGCCCCCCACGGGTGCAGCGACTCACCCAGTGCCCGTCCTCTGCCCCACAGGTGTCAGAGGCTGGTGTGCCCGCCACCCCTGCCAGCCCCACGGCGTGTCCCCCTGGAGCACTGGGAGCCTGCTCCCGAGACAAGCAATCCACCGACTCGGGCACCTTCTCCCTCGGCCACTAACCCCGGGGGCCGTGGGGCGAACCTGCCTGGTGAGGGGCTCACTGGGACCAGTCTCCAATGTTCCTCCCCCTGTGAGCCCCATCAGCATCTGACCGTCCGCAGCGCCCACCCCAGGTTGTCCCAGTACATCCCAGTGTCCCCAGTGCCCACACGGGGTGCCCCAGTCCTGTCCCTTGCCCCCAGGGTGCCCCCCCAGCACCTCCCTGTGCTCACCCCCCACGCCGAGGGGCTGCGCTCCCCTCCACCCCCAATAAACCCGTGGCTCGCAGCACCCACTCGTGTCCAGCCTTGGGGGGGCCGCGGGGCGGTCTTGGGGAGGCTGACGGGCAGAGTTGGGGTGCAGGAGCAGAGGGAAGAGGGGTCAGGGTGCTGTCCTTGGGAAGGGGGACACTGCGGGGGGAACTGCCGACAGGAGGAGCGCTGTGCCCACAGCGCTGCCCGTGGAAAAGGGCACAGAGGGACAGGAGCTGTGCCCTAGGGCTGTCACTTCCTCGGTCGGATGTGAGTAACTCTGCTGGGTTCAGAGGGAGCCTCCGGATCCCTCCTCGTGCAGGGTCAAGCGCTGCCCTTCCTGCTGGGAGTGGGGGTCTGGCTCCTCATCCCCTCCCGTGGGGGCTCCCACCCCAATCCCCCTGCAGAGCCAGTGGGGATGCCGTGAGGCCTGGCTGATTCCCAACGGGAGCTGCTGGTGCCAAGTCCCAGGAATGACGAACGAGGGTCCCAGAGCCGCTCGCTGGTGCCCAGGGCAGCCCCCGCCCCGCAGGGGGAGCGGCTCCTGCCCTCCCCCCACTGCAGATAGCGGAGCTCCTTATCAGCCCCATGGATTCCTTATCAGCCAGCCTTGGCCACCCACCCACCACCCGTGGCCACCACAAACCCAGCCTGGAGGGGTTCTTCCCCAGTGCTGAGACCAATGGGACCCCCTGGGTGGCACCGAGGCCGAGCCACCCCAGCTTCCAGGACAGCGAGGGGGTGACTGGGACACTCAACACGCACTTTTTGGAAAGGGAAGAGACTGGAGACGGATTCATGTGTGGTGGCTGGAAAGGGATACTTGTGCTGTGTTCCAATTAGGACAGAGATAGCTGGCATTGTTATTAATAGCCATTAATAGAACTGCTCATTAGCAGTCCTGCTCATTAGCGGGGCTCCGGCCAGGGCGAGAGCAGCCCGGGGAGCCTCACCGCGATCCCGGGGGGCTCATTAGCAGTACTGGTGTTTCCCCGTTAATGCTGTTAATTAGCAGAAAGGCTCGAGTGTCTGCACTGGGCACTGGGGGGTTCCGGCCCTTCGTCATTCCAGCCTGGGATTTGAACCAGAACTGGGCACTCTCGCAGTTCTGCCAGCAGCTGGAGCAGTTTTGGGGTTTAATACCTCTCTCCCCACAAGCCGGCTGTCCCCGCACCGAGACACGGGATCATTCCTTATCTCCAGCCTGATTAAGCCCTGCTTTGTTCTCCTGGCTGACGCTGAAGCTCTGGGTGTCTGGTTTGGTGCTGCTGTGCCCCCACCTCTGAGGCTCCCTAACCTGCACCCCCATTGACCAGCCCCTTTGCCCACTACACCACTCTGTCTCATTTTGGAGACCCCTGTGAGCTCTCGCCCCCTATTTCAACCACTGAATTCCCCACACAGCCCCTCCTTTACACCTCTTTGCTGGTAGAAGGGCTCCACTGAGCTGGCGGAGGGTCCCGGGGGGCTCTGTGCCCCCCCCCAGTCTCTGTTGCTACACTCGGGTGTTAAACCTGCCCCTTCCCATAGCCTGTCCCGTGCTGAATTCCCCCTTCAGCCCCAGCCCAGACCCCGCTGCGTGTCCCGGGGGACTTGGGGCTCTTCAGATCTCTGCAAAGTCCTGCTTGCTTCTTTGGTTCTTTTCCCCAGAGCTGGAATTGTGAGAGTTCAGTCCCAATGGCACGACCCCAGACCACGGCCCCACCACCGCGGGGGGCTTCCCTCCCCCTCCCCCCAATATTTATTTGTGGGGTGGGGGGGAAGTTTATTCTTTCTTGGCTCAGCGCTGCCGCGTCCGGCTCCATGAGCAACCCGCGGAGCTGGGATACACCGAGAGGCTCCGGTGGCAGCCGGTCCTGCCACAGCTGCTGCCCTAAAATGGTCTTTTTTACAGCGTGGGGGGTCCCAGAACCATCCTCCCCGTCCAGGATTTGTTAAAAGTATAAATCTCCTCGGCACGTTGTGCTCAAAGCGGGGCCCCGGTGCTGGGGGACCCCGCGGAGCCACCGCTGTGTGCTGAGCGAGGCAAAGCTGGGAGCAAAACGGGGAATCCCAAGTGCCAAATGCCAAATGCAAAATGCCAAATGCACGCCCTCCCCCGCCACCAGTGCGACCGCCCCAGTGTGACACCACCCCCCCATTG